CGGCGCTCCCGCCCGAGGGTTCGGATCCCACATACAGACCGGTTCCCGCTCACTGGCTGAGCGAGGCACGGGAGCAACACCGAGGGTTGCGATCCCATTGCCGGTCCCCGGTCTGGTACGGGGCAACACTGAGGGTTGTGATCCGTTGCCGGACACGGAAAAAGACAAAAAAAAAACAAACCACTGTCCTAAACATTGTGGGTACAGAGGTGGACAGAATATAATTTCTGTCTTCAAGGCATTCCAAAACTAAAGGTAGAGAGAACCACATATATCATGTGACATAAAACTAAGTTAGTTCTTTGTATAATTCACCACGAGAGCACTAAGTGGGAAACAATGTATTACAAATTTGGGGGAATTGAAGCTTTTCCAACTTTGCACTTGATCAAAATGTACCTAGCAGACCCCATAAGGAAGTATACGTCCTTCTGTATGTGTGTTGCTTTGTCTAAAGGTGCCGCAAAGGATATTTAGGATGAAGAACAATGTATTACAAATTTGGGGGAATTGAAGCTTTTCCAACTTTGCACTTGATCAAAATGTACCTAGCAGACCCCATAAGGAAGAATACGTCCTTCTGTATGTGTGTTGCTTTGTCTAAAGGTGCCGCAAAGGATATTTAGGATGAATCTTATTTACAGACAAGTGGAAGGGAAACTGTATGAAAAATTAGAGGTAAGAGTACGGCTCTAGGTTACTTTATCATTCTTTGAGTTTGTAATGTCTGTGCCACATAGGACTCTACTTTGTTCTTGCTACAATGTCAGTGAGATGAAGGAAACAGCAGCACGTCTTCAAGGAGGCATGAGGGATGCAGTTCACGAGCAGACTCTATTGGAAGAGATCCTAATTTGAGCATGAACATTAGCACGAGGCTTGTTCTTCTCTGTCTGGTGGAAAAAAGAAAGAACTAAAAAACTAAAAAAACTTTCCAATCTTACATCCTACAGGCTGGAAGAGCAAAAGTGAAACGGCAACCACCTATGAAAGAAGCCAAGAACTCTCAAAAGAGCAGTTACCACTACTTCCTTGGTTTCTCAATCTAACTTCTATCATTGCACCTCCCTTCTCTGATTGCAAATGTTGGTTACGTGCCTGTGCCCTGCGAGACTCAGCTCTGGGAGGGCAGATCTGGGCTTTCTTCTCATCTTCAGTACCTTCATTCATTCATTCATTTGATGTTTGGCTTACTGTGTGTTTACTAAGTAGAACCCAACTCAACTATATAAGGGTTTTCATATTAGAGGAAAGAAGAAATAAGTTAGGAAAAGTCATTTTGAAAGACAGCTTTATTTTCTACCTCTTTTTGTTCCTAGAGACCTGAGGTGACAACACCAGTGTTGAGCACATGCCTATTTGCTCCCATATTGCCATGACATTTATGTAGTGAGCCCTCGGTGTGCCTTCAGCCTGATCTAGGTACTTCAATATTCTAAAAGTGTAAAGGGAACACTGAAAAGAGAAAAAGTTCACACCTGAGTTGAGAATAGCAATAGAGTCTTACAGCACTGATCTTGAGGGGCCATTTGGTTTCCAGATATTGTTATAACTTTCATTAGAACTAGCTTGGGGTGTAGAGGTGATTCTTCATAGAGAAATTTATTTCACGTAGAATAGGTCTTCTGGTGTGGGAATCTCATTATAAAAAATAAAAATTCATGAGGCTTAAGCTACATATTTTTCATTAAACAATTTTCATCACCTGTCTCTTCAATGAGCATACACAAAGGCTGCTGAAGGCACACCCATCCTGGACAAGTGCCACCAACTCGCCTGACACTTGCTCTTCTTACACTGAAGGAAGAATGAGGGGTGCCTGTCCAAGCACAGCATTTGTGTGACTGCTAAGCTAATGCCTCATTCAGCCTCCCAGGCTCTTCAGTGCTGGGGTGGAGACCTTCTACCACATGTTCCCCAGCCTTCCTCTTAGGACTCAGCCACATCAATCAAGGCAGCTATGGACCCTGGTCATGCTCTTGTCCTACATGAGAGTGTGCTAAATATTGTAATGATCAATACAACAGAACACATTTTTTAAATGTTCCTAAGTATAGAAATCTACTGGGTCTTTTTATCAGTTGGTTTTAGTGAGAAGGGCACATCAGAGAATTGCTGGCTCTGAGATGAAAAATGTACATGTCTGGCCTCACCTGTCAGTCAGTGGCTTGCAACGTTGACAGTTTTACACGGACAAATGGCTTGGAACAGATGGAACAGGACCTGACGTGGAGAAATTCACATGATGATTACCCCATATTACCCTGATTAAATCCACTCACTCGCGTTCATCTGTAATGAGCAATCATTAAAGGAGACAACACTAAATATTCTCGAAGTAACTGACAGGCGGAAAGAGTTGCTTATTTATATTCAAATCATTAAGCTCCTCAAAAGAAAGTACGATTTTTTTCACAGGCAGTTAGATTGACATTGGC